CCTGAAGCCATAAACTTGTGGAAGAAAACATAGGCAGTGAGCTCCTTAACATCAGTCTTGGTGATGATTTTTTGGATTGGACACCAAAGGCAAAGGTAACAGAAGCAAAACAAAACAAATGGGACGTCAAACTCAAAAACTTCACAGCAAAGGAAACCAGCACAATGAAAAGGCAAATTCCATTCCTACTGACTGGGAGAAGATGCTTGCAAATTGTGTCTCTGGTAAGGGATACTATCTGAAATACGTGTAGAATTCATACCACTCAATAGCAAAAGACACATCCAATTAAAAAAAGGGAGAGGGGATCCCTGGGTGGCGCAGCGGTTTAACGCCTGCCTTTGGCCCAGGGCGCGATCCTGGAGACCCGAGATCGAGTCCCACGTCGGGCTCCCCGTGCATGGAGCCTGCTTCTCCCTCTGCCTATGCCTCTGCCTCTCTCTCTCTCTCTCTCTCTCTCTCTATCATAAATAAATAAAAATTTAAAAAAAAAAGAGGGAGAATGCCTGAATAGACATTTTTCCAAGGGAGATAGGTGGTCAATAGACACAAAGATGTTCAACATCACTAATCATGGAAATGTAAATTAAAACCACAATGAGATATCACTTCATACCTTTTAAAATGGCTAATATCAAAAAGACAAATGGCAAGTATTTAGCAAGGATGTAGAGAAAAGGGAACCTTGAGCACTGTTCGTGGGAATGTAGACTGGTGCAGCCCCTGTGGAAACCAGATGAAGGTTCCTCAAAAAATTAAAAATAGAACTACCTTACAATCCAGCAGTTACACTAGGTATTTTTCTAAACAAAAACACTAATTCAAAAAGATACACCCTTATGTTCACCGCAGCATTATTTACAATAGTCAAGATATGGGAACTACCTAAGTGTCCACCAATGGCTGAATGGAAAAAGAAGAGGTGCTATATACATGCAATATAATATTGGACATAAAAAAGAATGAAGTCTTGCCATTTGCAATGACATGGAGAGACCTTGAAGTGCTAAGTGAAAGAAGTCAGAAAAAGACAAACACCATATGATTGCTCTTAAATATGGGCTCCAAACAGACAGACACAACTCATAGATAGGACAGATTTGGTGGTTGCCAGTGGTGGTGGTTGTGGGGTAGGTGAAATGGAGGGAGTGGACAGCTACCCCGTCCAGCTACAAATAAATAAGTCATGGGGACGTAGTGTACGTAGTGATACTGCGCTGCACATTCGAAAGTTGCCAAGAGAGTAAATCTTTAAAGTTCTTTTCTTTTGTAGTGATTTTGCAGTGTATACAGATACTGAATCATTGTTTTACCTCTGAAATTAATAGAATATTGTATGTCAATTATACCTTAATTAAAAAAAACATTGAGCTTGGTAATGTGTCAGTAACTAAGTCTTAGAGTATCTCATTCCTCAGTGTCTTTACACTAGAAATCTGAATAAATGATACATATTTTTTTATTTTGGGGGGTGTTGGTTGTGGCTTATGTTTCTGTGTTTGGACATGATGGAGTCCCTTGTTCACCTACGATTTACTAGATGTGCATCTGCATCTTGCCGTTGTAGTGTGGTCAAGTATAAGAAACTCAAGTTGTACATATCCCCCATATCAGTGTAAGCTTTTCCATCCACGTGAATGACGTTCCATAGGAAAGTAGACCTGAGACATCCAGGAAGAGACAAGGGGAGGAGACTCTACTAGGGCTGACATTGATGGTCCCTGAGGACCCACGGTCTGATGTCCACAAGGGACGATCCCCTCCGTCACTGTTACATTCTGCATGATGCCCTTGGACTCTGCACTGGGTTGATCTCGCCGTCATTCAGCACGTTGTCCTGCACAAACTGTGGGATGACGCTCCTAGCTCCAACATGTTGTGGTTTACATGTGCCCCAGGCTCAGAGTTTCTGGAGAATTTTCCAGATGTCCTGTGGCTACTCTGATACTAAATGGGGTTATTCACCTTCCAGCGCCTTAGGGATGCCTCAGGGCCCCTTGACGGCACATGTGTACATTTCAAACTCTGCTCCTTAGAATGAAAAGAGAGAATGTGAAGTCTCCTTAGAAAATGAAGAGGATGGTTGCTGGTTTGGTTTCCTGGTTACAAATCCTGGGAGTTGCTTCCTTGACCTCTTGGGCGGACATCAGTGTCCAGCAGGGCAGCTCAGCTGGTGGCTGCTGACCTCAGAGCTGCCTTCAGTGGCCTGATTCTTCACGTGTTGGCTGCCAGCACTCGAGGTGTGCGGTAGACACCCCACAAGGTGCTTCCTCCAATCCCGAGTCCCGCGATCTTCACGACTGAGAAGCGTGGAGGAGCTTGGGGATTGAATGGAGAGCCATGCTGTTTTAGCTGATTCTTTGTTGCTGTGGTCGATTCTACTACAGTTCACCTGAAAACCTTCTCGGGGACCTACGATGCTCCTCTTCCCTTGATGTTAAGTTCAGTGGGCTGAAACCCTTTGGAAATGAAAAGGTCTGGTTACCTTGAGTCAGGGCTCAAGGCCCTCTGAGATCTGTAGTCAGTAGCATCAAAAGGATAACCTGGAAAGGCCAGAGCCTGGTGTCTCCAGAGCAGGGCTGGTTCGCACAGGAAACCACTTGAGCCGGGAGGCATGTACCTCTGCCCTTGTGTCACCTAACACCATAGGCACATCCTTTCAAACACCACTGATGCAAACATGCAAAAAACCCAGTTTGGCCGCCACTTAACACTTCTCAATGCTTTGAAATAATGAGGTTAAGTATCCTTTGGACATTTGACATACATGTAAGCTGTTCATTTTAATTGTAGTGGACACCTTTAGAATCGTGTGAATGTGACTTCAGTAATGGATGGGAGGAGAGGTGTGTTGTCATTGCCTCTGCTGTCCACTGGTCCCCGACAGCCCCCTTTGCTGAGGAGAACCTTTAGCGGCCACCCTGGTGGTTCAGTGAGGTCAGTGCAGGTGCGTGCAGGGGAGTGGACTCTCACCTGTGCCTTATTGGCCCTGCCGGCACTTGGCTGAGGCAGCTAGGCTGTGGCCTTCCAGGTGGTGTGCTCATGGCTCCCCAGCCCACGCAGGCCCTCAGATTATCAGCCTGTACCACCTGAAGACCGTTTTCTTATGAAAACAGAATGGAGAGATGACTTTGTCTTAATGAAGCCAGAAGCTGAGCGTCCGTCCTCAGGCTCATGACTCTAGAACATGACCTTTGTGTCTGGAAAACTCCTTTTTTATTTTTATTTTAAGATTTAATTTATTCATAGACACAGAGAGAGAGAGGCAGAGACACAGGCAGAGGGAGAAGCAGGCTTCATGCAGGGAGCCCTACATGGGACTCAATCCCGGGTCCCCAGGATCACACCCCAGGCTGCAGGTGGCGCCAAACTGCTGCGCCACTGGGGCTGCCCTGGAAGACTCATTTTTAAACAGTAGAATCCACTGGCTCTGTGCTGTTCAGAATGGGGCAAGATGTGCCCGTAGGCACCGGTGAGGGAGGCCGTGAGCGTCTCCTCTGCCTCCTGCTTCTGTGCCCACTGGATGTGCCACAGAGGCCCTGATGAGAGCCGGTCCTCCAAATCCTGTCACGTCGAACTGAACAGTTGAGTATTGTGCATTTACTTATTCTCCGTCCTAGTTCTTGGGGTGGGAGGAGAAGGCTGTCTTTCCAGGAGGGGTTTATAGCAGGGGGACTAGACCTCCTGAATGGTTTGGCCAGGGGTGCGGAGCAGCCAGAGGGGGCACCCGGGGCCCTGCCAGGTGGAGCCCTGTGGGGTCACAGAGTGGGGTGCCTGTGGCTGTCTCTCGGCTGAGGTGGCCGAGCTTGGGGTAAGGCCAGTTGTCAGCAGGGCAGACCTGTGAGCAGGCTCAGCCAGCGTCTCCCGAGTCCGGACAGGCTCTGCCGTGAGCTCGGGTCTGATGTTAGGGGTCGGGGTGGGCGTGTGCTCAGGACCGCAGGACCAGGGACAGAACGGCCGCTCGGCCCCAGGTATCTGCGGAGCAGAGTGTCCGAAGCCCGTGCCTGAGGCACCTCCAGAGAGCCGGGGAACTGCCCAGTCTGTGAGGAATGGAACCGGATGAACACCAGCTGGTAGTTGTTGGGCCACAACCCAAAGTGAGTTCACAAGAGGGGCCTTCTGTGAGCTGTCCTTACGTTGGCGTGTGACTGATGCCTCCTGACCCGCACGCTGGGACGGAGCAGACCCCGGTGGGGGGATGCGCCACGCTGGGCGTCAGATGCTCCAGGGCTCACGGAGGGACTCTTACCCGGTGACATAATTTGGCACCTCTGTGTTGCAGGAGGGGGTTGGAGGTGATGGGCCAAAGTCAGGTGTCGTCTGGCTTTTCTTAAGTCAAAAACAGGGATTTGCAAGCTCTTGTGACCAGGGAGGTGGTCGCCGTCCTGAGGGCCCAGCCCTTCGGAGGAAGGACCCTCAACCAGGGAGGGGCCTGCGGGCCAGGGGCTCGGCAGGGAGCCGCGTCAGCGTCGCGGTTTACAGGCCCTATTCGCGGTCCTGGGACGTCGGCCCCCTGGGGGCAGCTCCTTGCAGAGGATGCACCGAGGCTCCTGGAGAGCCCGGCCTGGGGCAGCCGCGGGGGGAGCGCGTCCACGCAGGGCCCCGGCTCCGGCGCGGGAAGGGGAAGCGCGGGCGGCCCTGCCGCTTCGTCGGTGCCCTGCGGTGGGGGCTGTCCCCGCGCGCAGACCCCCGGGCGCACCCCGACGCAGGAGGGGCCGGAATGGGCGTCCGGCGCACCCACAGCGCGCGTGCTCGGAGCCCGGGGAGGGGTGTCCCGGCGCCCTCTCCTCCACGGGGATCACGCCGTCGGGTCCCAGGCGCGGCGCTGCCTCCCTCGCAGCACATGGGGAGGCCGAGGCCGAGGCCGAGCCGCCTCGCTGGCCCTGCAGGGTGCCCGCGGCAGGTGCACCGGGTGCGCCCGTCCGTGCCCCACGTGGCTGGCCCCCCGCCAGGTTCCGTCCCTCCCGGCTCTCAGCCGCGCCTCCCTGCCGCCCCCCCAGGACGCGGGAAGCCAGCAGATCGGGTTCTTGCTCGGCAGCTGTGGAGTCACCGTGGCCTTGACGAGCGACGCTTGCCACAAAGGGCTGCCGAAAAGCCCGACCGGGGAGATCCCGCAGTTCAAAGGTAGGCGCCCCGCTAGGCTGTCGGGGGCTCCCGGCACCGCCCCGGCCCCGCCCCAGGCCTGGCCTCCGCCCCGCCTGACACCGGTGGGCGTGCCTGGGCGTGTCGGAAACCCCGCCCCGCCCGGAGGCCTGGCCTCCGCCCCCCTTGCACGAGGTGGGCGCCACCTGCCCTCCGGGTCGCGCCCCCCTGAGCCGCCCCCGCCCTTCACCTTCAAGGGTGGCCGAAGCTGCTGTGGTTTGTCACCGAGTCGAAGCACCTGTCTAAGCCGCCGCGGGATTGGTTCCCGCACATCAAGGATGCCAATAACGACACGGCGTACATAGAGGTGAGCGCGGCGGCCGCTGCGGGGTGCGGGCGGGCCAGGCCCCTGCGAACCCCGTCTGCACGGCGTCCTCTCGTCGCAGTACAAGACGTGCAAGGACGGAAGCGTGCTCGGCGTCACCGTGACCAGGATCGCGCTGCTGACCCACTGCCAGGCCCTCACGCAGGCGTGCGGCTACACGGAAGGTACTGGCGGCGGGGCCAGCCGGGGCGGGGCCGGGCGGGGCGGGGCGGGGCCAGGCGGGGCCAGCCGGGGCGGGGCCAGCCGGGGCGGGGCCGGAGACGCCCAGCCCGGAGGAGCAGCAGCGTCGGTTGGGTTTGATCGCGGTCGGGGCCGGGGCCGCCTGGCGGGCCTCGGGGCGGGGGCCTGAGCTCAAGGCTCCTGGCCTCGGGTGCCTGTGTCCGTGGCGGTCCGGCCCGCGCGGGGGCCTCAGTCGACCCCGTCCCCTGCGGAGGCACCGTCGCCCAGTGTCACCACGCGGGCACACGGTCAAGCTGTGCCCCCCCACCCCCCCACACCGGGCAGCCGTCCCCTCCCAGCTCCGCCGGGACGGGCTGTGGGGTTGGCGCGAGCTCCCGGGCCGCACGGACACGTTCTTCCCCGGGCCGGGCCTCCTACGAGGCAGGGGCCACGGATGTCCGCCCGGAGGACCCGCATCCCCGCGCCCCCGCCGGGGCTCCGCTGACCCGCACCGGACCCTCCCCCGTGTCTTTGGCGGCTTGTCTGCCCCGTGAGATGCGCCCCAGACCCGCCAGACCCGCTCGGTCCCCGCCAACTCCACGGCTCTGCTGACGCCCACCTGCCTTCGGGCGAGTCCGGGAGCATCACGGATGGAAGGGGGGCCGAGCGCAGGCAGCTTCCTCCGGGCAGGCGGCAGGGTGTCTGCCCGGTCGGCCCATTGCCCTTGTCCCTGGTCTCCCACGGTAAACGTCCTGTTTCCTTTCGCACAGCGGAAACCATCGTGAATGTGCTGGACTTCAAGAAGGACGTGGGGCTGTGGCACGGGATCCTGACGGTAAGGGCCACCCGGCGGGCGGTGGGCGTGCAGGGGGAGCCGCCTCTGCGGGGGTGGGGGGTGAAGAGCCATCACGCAGGGCCCACGCCCGTCCTCCCTCCCTCTCCGGAGTGAGCACCCGACCCCTCCTATGCCCCGTCCTCCCTGCTCTGTGGGAGTGAGCACCCCTTCCAGGTCCCACGGTGGAGAAGCCGGGTCTCATCCTTGCGAGGGCTGTCCATGCGGGAGGGTGGTTTGGAGCTGTGGGTGGGCTATGGAGACAGCCTTGCTGTGTAAGGTGCTTGCAGCCCAGAGACCATGACTGCTTGTGTGCTTGCTGTGCACATCGTGAGTGTTGGTGATCTCTGCCCTGTTTGTGAGCGTCTTAAGTTGGAACTGTGTCCAGAGGTAGAAACTTCTAGGGCTTTGACGTGCATGATGGGACACAGGTGCAGAAAGCAGGGGTGTGGTTTCTCAGTGAGGCCGGATTCCTTAGGATGAGGGCCTGTGAGCATCACCTAGATGAGGGTTGGGGGTCCAGTAGAGCCGCCTCCACTGTGCCCTGGGTGCTGGCAGGTGGTAGGAGTGCAAACAGCCCCAGGTGCGTGCTCACATGGTCAGGGCTGCTGATCTGAGCGCTGCCGTCTGCAGCTCTGTGCCTCTGGGCACCTGGGTCTCCCCAGTCACACAGTGACTGTCCCCTGTGAGGACTGCGCAGCCAGCCCGTGGTCCACCTCCCTGCCCAGGGGTTGTGGCAGCTGCCTTCCCCACTGCTGGTTGGGCTCCTCCCTGACGATGTGGTGCAGGGCCTCTGTGACGGGTCTTGGTGGCCTCACCCATCTGTCACTGGCTCTGGACCTGTGCCTTCTGAGTCTCTTGCTGCCAACTCCTAGAGCTAGGCCTGTCCCCTGCTAGACGCACACGCTCCTCTGTGGTGTTTGGATGGCAAATGGTGCCTCTGGTTTCCATCGTGGAGCGAACGTGTGACGGGGCCTGGGCCTGTCCTGTCCCCACATCATGCCCAGTGGGGGGGGGGGGTTCCCTGTCCTGCCAGCAGGTCGGCAGTCACCTCCGTTTGTTGCTTCCAGAGCGTCATGAACATGATGCACGTGATCAGCATCCCATACTCCCTCATGAAGGTGAACCCGCTGTCCTGGATTCAGAAAGTCTGCCAGTACAAAGGTACGTCTCCAGGGTCCCCGGAGTGCCCGGCTCCCTGAGCCTCCCATGGCCGGCAGTGTGCTCGTTAACGCCCTTCCCTCCACTCTTCCCACAGCAAAGGTGGCTTGCGTGAAGTCCAGGGACATGCACTGGGCCCTCGTCGCCCACAGAGATCAGAGAGACATCAACCTCTCCTCCCTCCGGATGCTGATCGTGGCCGATGGTGCAAATCCCTGTAAGTGAATTAATTAAAAAAAAATTAAAAAAAAAAAGGGGGATCCCTGGGTGGCACAGCGGTTTGGCGCCTGCCTTTGGCCCAGGGCGCGATCCTGGAGACCCGGGATCGAATCCCACATCGGGCTCCCGGTGCATGGAGCCTGTTTCTCCCTCTGCCTGTGTCTCTGCCTCTCTCTCTCTCTCTCTCTCTCTCTGTGACTATCGTAAATAAATTAAAAAAAAATTTAAAAAAAAAAAATCCCTGTAAGTGACCAGCGGGCGGGCAGAGAGAGCCTCGCTCTCCATGGCCCATTTCTGCGCTTAGCTTTTCCCTTTCTGGCCGTTGCCTTGGTTGGGGAGCTGCCCTGACTGACTTCATGACCTTCAGTGTGACCCCTGGGCAGTGGGGAGTCCAGAGCCCGCAGGCCCCGGCCTGGACTCCAGTCCCGGTGTTCCCACATCCTCGTTCCAGAGAAAGCGCTAAGCTTCTGGCTCTAATCCCTGTTACGTTAGCTGCGAAAGAGTAGCTAAGTCACGAGACATCAGGAGTCGGTTGGGTAGTCCCTGTGTCCTGGTGTGCTCGGTGCTCAGGAAGTAGTAGCTATTGTTATTTCGTGGTCTACACGAAATTAACCAGGAAAGTAACTTGTCACTTTAATGGGATTTCATTATCAAATCCTATAGAGAAAACCATCAAGCAAAGCAAAGTAGCAGTGGTTAGGACGGCACTAAGCTGCCTCGAGGAGCGTTGTTCTGGGTCGAAACAGGTCGCGGCTGGCTTTGCCAGGGAGCAAGCCAGAAGCCGAGTGAGCAAGACCGTGGGCTTCTGGCCAGCCGTAAACGGTGCTGCCTGCACGTGTGTAAATGAAAGCTGCACACGATTTGTCAGAGAACATGTGGCACGCGAACCAGGGCTCGCCACCGGAGGATCTAGTAGTAGTCGGAGACGTCACTCGTCCCTTCCCCAGAGCAGCTGGTTTGAGCGCCTGCCCCGTACCGGGCCGGGCTAACCTGTATTAGGAAGTGGTCTCGCCAGCAGGCGCCCCATGGTCACCCCTGATCTCACCAGCCGGGTTGATGCTGGGACAGTTTTCTTCCCTTCGTTTTGATGCACTGACGTTGCAAACACCACCTCAAAAACGGTAGAACGGGTCTTGGAAAAGGCGCAGGTGCAGGGACGTTTGAAGTACGGACGTCACACTCTTAAATCCTGGAGTTCTGTGGGCCCGCAAGGATTTGCTCTCACGGCGACGTCCTCCTGAGCGGTACCGGTGAAGTTGGCGCGTCCGTGGTGCGGGCAGCTTCCGTCTATCCCGTGCTTTCCCCTGGCCGACCATCCTCCCCTTTCACCTCCAGGGTCCATCTCGTCTTGTGACGCGTTCCTCAATGTCTTCCAAAGTAAAGGCCTGCGCCAGGAGGTCATCTGCCCGTGTGCCAGCTCCCCAGAGGCTCTCACCGTGGCCATCCGGAGGTACAGCTGGGCCCCCGCGGGGGGCGGGGGCGGGTAGGGCAGAACCTGGGCCGTAGGGGAGGGAGAGGGCAGGACCCAGGCCATGGGGGGCAAGGAGGGCAGGACCCAGGTCGTCGTCATCGTCGTCGGGGGCTGGCTTCATTTCCTCGCACACACCGGAGTGGGTCAATGGTGGCCCAGATTCTCGAGTCAGAAGCCCTCTCTCCCTGTGAGTGACCTATGGGCAGGTGCGCAGGCCGCGGTGGCCTGTCCTGGCAGGCCCCTCACACGTCCCTGTGCCCAGGTCCGGGTCAGGTGTTCCTTGAGGGCAGACCAGGTGAATGTCGTATGGTTGGAGTGAAATGTTTGCAGCCAGCTGTGCCTGTGGAAGTGTGGTTTCTGCCCCATGTGCCACTGTGCCCTAAGCTTCTAAAAGCCCTGGCTTTCTGAGCGCTCGAGCTGTGGCTGGTGCATCGGTGCAGGACTCATGCCCGGGGTCCAGTCAGCCCTCCTGACCACCTGCCCTGGCACCAAGCGCACCTGTCACGGGCGCCGCAGTTTCGGGTGCAGAAAGCTGATCCCACGCAGGCTGGGAGGTGCAGGGAAGCCTGTGTGACCGACCCCCGCCACCGGCCATCCTCATCACGTGGGAATGGACTGTTTGCATCGCCTGGATATTTCCAACGCGGGATCTGACTCCTCAGTATCTTTGCGTTCAGCTGTTCATAAGGTTTCATTGTGCATCACAGGAATGTGCTGCGCTGTAAGGATGGAGGAGGGGCTGTTCGCATACAACACACCTGAGTGGTGCCCTTGTTACCCAAAGGTTGGGCTTCCCAAAAATACCCACTGGGAGACTGTAAATAAGATACTGTCCGACAACTTAGGTGATTATTAGCGTAAAACTAACCAGACTGCCTAATGGGCTGAGAAATAAAAACCTTTACGGTATCCGAAGCAAGTTTTAATTTCGATTGAACCAGAAATTAAAAATATGACATAATTTTAATTGATGAGGAAACATGACAATATGAACTGGAATCCAACCTTCATTTTCTGAAAGGTGTCACGGTTGCTCCAGCAGGAGACGCCCCGCAGACCCTTCCGACGTTTCAGTCCCGCCTCGGAGCGCTGACGGCTGTGCCAGTGGATGGGCGAACGCGTGTCCTTCCGAAATCAGGATTAAACCGGGTCCAGTTTGAGCCCGAGCACAGTCCTGGGTCCGGCGTGGCCAGCATCCGCCACGGGGTCCTGGGCGAGTCCCTGCTCTCCGTGGTGTTAAGGTTGCGCCGTCGTGTCACGTAGAACTATTGCCACACATCAGTCGTGAAGTGAGAGATTCAGACGCTTAGGAACCCAGTCCTTAGTAGCAAGGTGGTGTGTGTCCGTGCATCTCCTAGAAATCTGTTCTCTGGATGTGAGGGTAAGCAGCGTGGACCAGGCCAGACCTGATGGCACATTGTTACGTTAGCTGCGAAAGGAGTCTGCAAAGGGCTTTTAAAACTGCTTCTCTAAAAATGTTGAATAATTGTTAAAATTTTTAAGAAAATTAAAAATCTGTTCTCAAAAATAGGCATATTAAGCCTTATTTCCTGGGCGTGTGCTCAGTGGCCTCCAGGGCACCTGCCCTGCGGTCAGCGGCCACTCACCCCAAACAGCCCCCTGCACACACCAGGGTCAGCGCCATCACCTGGGCTGGGAGCGCTGGTTTCAGAGTTTCAGAGCCGCCGGTTCCCCCCCCCCCCCCCGTGCAGGTGGGAGGGCAGGAGGGCCACGCAACCAGCAGCCAGCCTTGCTTTGCACAGAATCGGCTTCCCCTTGCGGACCTGCCTGCCACTCTCATGCCTTCCAGGTCTCACCCGCCGTTTCCCAAGAGCAAGGAGCCAGGACGGGACAGGGGGCACGCCCGAGCTCCTGGCCGGCCCCACCCCCCACGGCGAGGCTGGAGGGGTCGTGGTGTGGGCGGGGTGTGGGGCCGGCGGTCACAGGTGGAGCTGAGGCAGCACCAGGTGAACCCGGAGGTTGGCCTCCACCAAATCCTGCTGTGCTCTCCTCGAAAACTCTCGTGGTTTCCCTGAGTTCAACACCGTATTCTGTTGACTGTCATCTGTGGCTCCACGAGTTAAAATGGAAGAGGTTTGTGGCGCGTGGCTCTGCACGTCCACCTGCCCTTCTGACCCCAAACAGGTTTGACTGCACATTTCCTGATCCTCAGAAGTTAGGCTCATTCACTTTGCTGGCGCCGTTTGGGGACGGCGGTCTTCCCAGGTGTGTCGCGCGGCCGTGGTCCGTAAGCGTCACCTTGGCAACTGGGGGCTGGCTACTCTCACGATTCTGTGGATCTCAGGAATCCACGGAAAGTGATGGGAAAGGGCCGTGGATGTACCGTAAGACTAAGTACGTGCTGTAGGGGGTGTGGCTTCCTGCTGGGGTCCCCCCGCCGGGCCGTGGTCACATTCCCTGGACCCTGCGCAGGGGGTGGCTGTGTCCCTGTGTGGCGAGTGCACACCGTGATCGTGGAAAATAGCTGTGCCACTTTCTCGTGTGGGTTTTATGATGGGACTCACCCTGGACTGTCTCAACTGATCGGGAATAACGTCCAATTATTAAGACCGTTGCCACCTGCACACAGGACCGCGTGGCCGCCACAAATCCAGGCGGTGGACTCTGATAGGACTCGGCCTCCCGTGAGGACCTTGAACCAGGGTGGGTGCCATGGCGTCTCTGGGTCCTCTACCCTTCAGAGGGCCTCTGTGCTCTCCCCTCCCCCGTCCGTCTTGAGGGGCTGCCTGGAAACTGCGTCCCCCACAGCAGAGAAGCCCTTCCTAAGCTCATAATTTCTAGAAAACAGTGTGGCCAGGGAGCACGTTTCAGTGGGGAAATTCTGTTTCCAGAAGCTTTTGGTAAAAAAGGTCTGCACTGCTGGGACCTGGAGGGGGCAGGAGGTAACCTGGAGGGGGCAGGTGACCGTCCCCTTCCCTGTGGGTTCTTCTGTTCTCCCCGCGAGTGCAGCCTGGCCAGGCGCTGCCCTGCCTGCCCACCTGCGCTGGCGTCCTGACTGGGGTCCTGCGGGCGTCACATTCAGCACCTGCTCACGTGCCACGTGGTAAACTGGTGGAGTCGCTATTCCGTCCATCCCGGCTTCACATGTATTTTATCAAGAAATAAAAAGCTAAGTATGTAACTGAGAAGTGAGGGTCCTGCCCGCACACTTCCCCCTGACCACCTCGTGTGCCCCCAGGGGCAGACGCTGTGAGACCCAGAGCTTCCCACCCGCGACCTCGCTAGACCAGCTCCCACGCACATGCAGGCGGGTTTCTAGCTCAGGTTTAGCCCGAGAAGAGTGTGTGCTCCTCTGCTGGTTTGTGTTTTACATGATCCGAGTGCGGCTCTGAGCCTAGACTTTGGTGTCATGTCCTGGTCCAGCGACACAGCAGCGGGAAGGACAACCATGGGGTCCAAGGTCAGTCCCTGCGGTGAGGCACCGACACGGGCGAAGAGGGCAGTTCAGGACGCCAGAGTACAGGTGGGAGGCCTGCTTCCCGCCAGCACTTGGAGAGCAGCATGTGGGGTTTAAGTTCCCACGGAGGACGCCGTGGTGGGTCAGAGACCTGAGCAAGTATAGCACCCGTAGCCCGTCCCATTGGGCTCCGAGCCAGAGCCCCCACACCCTCCCAGGGCCCCGACCCTGCTGCCTAGGACATCTTGGAGCCCCACAGCTCTGCACTCGGCATCCTCACCCAGGCCCGTGGGTAGATCCGGGGAGAGGAGGGGACGGGAACGTGAGGTGCAGCCACAGTGTTCTCAGAATCAGGAATGACGACGGAGTCCGGATCGAGGTCGGCCTGTGCGCACAGTGGCCGGTCCACGTTGGTTCCCCGGCTGGGTGCCATCCCGGGTCCGCTTGCCGTCCTCGTCCACATGACTGCTAGGCTCAGGAAGCCTGCTGAGGCTGTTGCTTCGCTGTCGGGCTCGCGAGGACATGCACATGGGTGACGACTGGTGCTCAGTCTCAGGAGAGGAGGGAGTGCTCACGTTCAGGACCTGTTTCTTCTGCTGACCGGTAATATTTAGGCCGTTTTTCAAGCACACGTGACAGAAACCCCACACACTTGTGTTTTTATGTTCCTCTCTGGGAGCAGAAGGAAAGCTGCCTGTTCCCGGTGTTGTGCGTGAACAGCTGTCCACAGAGGCTGGGACAAATTCGAGCTTTTGTAGATCGAGCCCTGCACTGACCTTCATGGTGGGTCATCTGATCCCCGAGCACGCTGGATACTCGGGGAATTCCCACATGTACACGGTAGGAGCCCCGTCTGTCCCACTCCAGCTGCGCAGAGTGGAGCCCAGGATGGCTGCTCCGTCCTCCCATGGTCCCAGGGGGAGGACGGGTGGACACTCTCAGCGTCCTTATAAAGGCCAGCCTCTCAGATTTTGCTTCCATTCATAGGATAGTTTATGAAGAAACAAGCGTTTGGTGGTGAGGTCGCCTGATTTTATTGGAAAGAAAGGCCGTCCCCCTGCGAAGGGACCCGACTACCCTTCGTTCAGATGGTCTCCTTCCCCTTTGGATTAGTGACCTTCCCGGGAGAGCTTGCTGCGCCCTGGTGACGAAGAGGAGATTAAATCTCTGGTACCAGCTCAGAGCAGCTGATTGCTCCCCTGACCTTTAGTGCATTTAATTAACGATACTCAGTAACTGCGTCTGGTCAGCAGTGAAGGGGAACCCGGAAACGTGTTCCCTTATGACCTGTGGGACTCTGGCCATTTTTAGAACATGCATCCATCAGGGGGGTTCCCCCTCTGAGCCACGGAGGAGCCGGGCCTCAGGGTTGGCGTCGTGGCCTGGTAGGCATCCTGACGTCCATGCAGTGTGAGCTGCGGAACGCCTGCCAGCAGCACCAGAGAGCGTCTTCTGGAAGGTTTCAGGGCCCAGAGTCTTCAAGGGGAGCCTCAGGCATCATACCCAAAACAGGCAGGATGCAGAGGGGGTCCCGGGAGCCAGCAGTGGTCGGACTCTGGCCGTGGTCTGGGGACTGCAGCCAGCGCCCTGGCTTCGTGTACATGCCTGTGTTCACCCCGGTATTTAATCATATTTCTCTGTGAAATGGCCATCATCCACACGTGTGTTTTGTGTTTCCTACTTCTTTTAGGATTAGTTGTAAAATTAAAAATATTGGAGAAATAGCATTTTATGATTTGCCAACTCATCCATAGAATTATTTTAAAAAGGCAACTTGAAAAATGAAAACAAAGTTATATTCTGGTCTCTGTGTCTCTGGGATTGCCATCTGGGTCTGTTTCCACGTCTGGACCACAGAGGGTAGAACCCACTTCTTAAAGCTACATTGTGGTCACGTGGATGGAAGTGAACTATTCTGTAGACTTTTTAACTGCAAGATACTGAAATACTTTGATGCTCCAGCAGGAAAGGATAATAATTATGTAAAGCAGCAATTAAACTAGCAATTCCAGAGAATAAAGATGCCCCTTTGCCACCAGAATCACTTTCTATGTTGAAAGCGTTGCCCTGGGAGCTACAGAGCTGGGAAGACCCTGAGGAAGGGGCCCGTGCAGCAGGACACCTGTCCAGAGGCGGGGTCAGGCTGACAGATGTGCACAGAGGCTCGCCAGCCGGTGACCCAGAGCGAAAATAGCCAACAAGCCTGTGAATCGAAGTGGGGTTTTCAAGAACAGTTCTGACTGCCCCAAAAAAGGTCGATGGGGGATCTGTGATCATATTTCTAGGATACGAGATAAAATACATTGTCAGTGATTTTAATCTGGAAGTTTTAAATTCAGATAACATTTCATAGCTCTCTAAGCGTGAAACCATTGGAGAGGGGGCTCAGCGGGCCTAACGGAAGTAGGAGCGTCCCAGAGCCGATGCCTGGGGTTGCCGTGCGTCGTCGTCCTGAGGGCTCCACGGCAGGGGTGGGTTCTGCTCTGGGTCGTGTGCCCGGGAGTGCAGCAGCAGGAGGTGCCGCTTCCCCACCCGTGCCCGCCGAGCGCCTGCCCCACGACACGGCGGAGTAGCTGAGGGGACGGGAAACAAAGCCTGTGAGCCGTGTGCATGGTGCGATCCCTTTTCTGGCTGAAAACAATGGTCTCTAAACTGTTTTACAACAAAAAGCAAGCTCCGAACCACAGCGGGTAGTGAGACTGCGTCGGGGGAACCGTCCTGTGTGACGTTGGGGCGCTCCTAGAGCAGCTGCGCTTAAGTAAGCATGCGTTGCTCTTACCAGAGACGGAGGACGCGTCTCGTACAGGTGTGCTGTTCACTCTCGTGTTCCCGTTACCAAGCATGAACTTCGCTGAGCCGTCAGCCTGGGTGTGGCTGTGTTTTGGGGAGGCTCTGTGACACTGCACATGGAGGCAGGTGCACACACTGACGGGTTTGACCAGATTTCTCCTGAAGCCTGCAATTTGCCAGAATGTTCCCTAGAAACGTTACTTCTGTTGAAGCAAGTGCACCGCCTCTGCGGCTCCCGGTCTCCGGAGGGCGCGTTTACCCGGGGCTGCGGCCGCGAGGTCACGTCCGCCTGTACAGACTCCAGTCCCCGCCGACGGTGCCGGGCACGAGCAGCAGGGCCGGTGCCCAGGAAGGGACACCCTCCGTCCGCGAAGGGGGACCTTCTGGTCAGAGGCTGGGACGCAGCCCCCCCGCTCTCGCAGATGCACGGCCCTGCGGCTTCAGCCTTCCGCAGGACGACAGCGCTCCGGGGCACTTCATGCCCGCGTGCACCCACGACTCCGTGGGGCGTGTCCAGCGCGCCCAGCACAGCGCCCACCGGTGGCTGTCGGGGTCTGTGGGCGCGGGGCAGCGCTCCGGCCTCTCCTTCCTCAGCGGCTCCTCAGCGGCTCCGTCACACGGCACAGCAACCCCTCAGCCCCGGGGGCGGGTCCGCGGCGGGTGACGGGCGTGCCCACGTCTCGGGCGCCTCAGCCGCACCTGTCTGCGCCGTGAGGGTCCGGCTCCGCGGCCGCAGCACGTGTCCTGGTGCGTCTGCCGAAGGTGCAGGTGCGGGGTGCTCCCGTGCGGCCGGCGCCGGCGGGGAGAGGGCGCCCTCCGCGGCGGGACCTGCTCTGAGCGCGGGCAGCTTCGGGAACCGGACGTCTCGCCGTGCTCAGAGGGCGTCGGGGGGCACGGGGGGCGCCGCCTCTACGTCTGGGAGCGGGAGGGTCCCGGGCGCCTGGCACCCGCACGAGCGCGCGGCCTGGCCGTAGGCGGGACGCCGTGGTGGGGCTCGCGGGCCCGGCGGCCTGGTGGGAGCCCAGGCCGGTGGTCACGCCCCCGCGCGTGTTCTGGGGCGCCGTCCTCGCGCGGCCTGCGGCGTCCCGTCTACAGCCCGCGCGCGCGCGGAGCGGGGCGGGGCGGGGCCTGCAGCCCCCGGGGGTTCTGGGGCTGCTGTGGAGACCCCAAGGTCCCGAGAGCGCCCCTGACCTGCAGCCGGAGGAGGCCCGGCCCTGGCGCCCCGCTCGCAGCGGGGTGGCCTGCGGGCTCCGCACACGGCCACTGCCTCTGCGTGGACAGGGGCGCCTGCGTGGCCTGCGTGCGCCTACGTGGACCTGCGTGCCCCTGTGTGCGCCTGCGTGCGCGTGCGTGGCCTGCGTGTCCCTGCGTGGCCTGCGTGCGCGTGCGTGGCCTGCGTGTCCCTGCGTGGCCTGCGTGCTGACACGGAGCTGCCCTTGCAGGCCCACCGACGACAGCAACCAGCCCCCGGGCCGCGGCGTCCTGTCCATGCACGGGCTGACCTACGGCGTCATCCGGGTGGACTCGGAGGAGAAGCTGTCCGTCCTCACGGTGCAGGACGTCGGCCTCGTGATGCCTGGCGGTGAGTGCGGGCGCCGCGGGGCCGGGGGGCGTTGGGAGGGGCGCTGCCGCAGCTGGCGCGCCTTGCGGAAGCCTCAGGGGGTCCCTGCCGCCCGGGGCCCCCCGGTGGGTCCTCCCCGTGGGGCCTCCCCGTCAGGGTCGGGCTTCGGCGGGGAGGGAGCGGCGGTGCGCTCGTGTGCGCGTGCCCGGCCCAGGTGCGGGTGCGGCGGCCGGCGGCTCGGTGCTCTCGGTGCTCTCCGCCGGGCTCCGCCGCCCTCCCCCGTGACCCGCCCGTGCTTCGTGCCTGCAGCCATCATGTGTTCGGTGAAGCCGGACGGCATCCCTCAGCTCTGCAGAACCGACGAAATCGGGGAGCTGTGTGTGTGCGCCATCGCGACGGGCACGTCCTATTACGGGCTGTCGGGCATGACCAAGAACACGTTCGAGGTAGGTCCGCGGGCTGAGCCCGGAGCGCTGCGCGGGGTCGCGGAACACGGAGCTCCGGCTCGGCGCAGCACGTTCACCAGCGGAAGCGCCTGAGCTCTGTGCTGCTGTCCGTAATCGTCAGCACGTTGGGCTTCTTAGAGTTTCTTTCCTTGTAGCCAGTGTTGAAAAGTGCGGGAATAGTTTTTTTATGAACAGTCTAAATCCTGCCCTTGTCACTTTGGTGCATTTACCAAGTGCTGCTGCCAGTGGGGGAGGGAGGGCACCCTGTCCCACGTGGCCGAGGCCCTGCTTGGGGCTGGCCTGCCGAGGCCCAGCGTGACGCCGGGTGAGGCGCCTTTCTGCAGCACGAGCTCTTGTGCATGTCAGCGGCACACTGCAGGCCGCACACTGTGCTCCCAGCTGTGACAGCTCCTGACCACGAGGTATCTAACTTGGGGAAGAGCGCACGTCTGATGACAGCGAGCACGAGAAACACGGGTCATGAGGGACTCGTCTCCTGCAGTTGAGAACGTGTCGGGATGAGGTGCCTCGTGCAGGTGCCTTTGCTGAATGTGGATTCGAGTTTGCAGCCCAGCCGGACAGTCTGTGCAAGCCCACCTCCTCTCCGTGTGCTCACCTGCAGGGTCTCGGGGCGCCAGGACTTGCTCCCTTTGTTCCTCTCTGGTGCCGTCCGGATGAGGAAACAGTGACGAACAGATCATTTTACAGCTAACTCATGTTTTCGGTTTATCACTTTCATGCCGTGGATTCAGCACAGAAAGACGGACTAGCATTCGTTACCTCTTCATAATGCTCTCTGATGTCACTTAGGTTCAGAGCCAGGGGAGGAAGCCTGTGGGCAGCCCGCATGTGGATGGCAGAGGCAGGGGGCAGTGGCCGTGCTGCAGACGTGGGCCCGGTGAGCCCCAGGGGCCCGGCACTCACAGCGCATGTGTCTGCAGGTGTTTCCCGTGACCAGCTCGGGCGCCCCCGTCAGCGAGTACCCCTTCGTGAGGACAGGCCTGCTGGGCTTCGTCGGCCCCGGGGGGCTCGTCTTTGTGGTGGGGAAGATGGATGGGCTCATGGTGGTCAGCGGGCGCAGACACAACGCTGATGACATCGTCGCCACAGCACTGGCTGTGGAGCCCATGAAATTCGTCTACAGGGGCAGGTGGGTGAGCGCTCTGTGAATCCAGTGCCTGGTTGAGTACGTGCGGTGGTTTTTATAGGAAATTGCAGATTCCTTCAGCGGATGGGACCCCATGACCACAGGCATTCCGTTTGTCCTGAATGTGTAGTTTTATAGAAAGGTCATGGGCAGCCCGGGTGGCTCAGCGGTTTAGCGCCACCTTCAGCCCAGGCTGTGACCCCGGGGTCCCGGGATTGAGTCCCGCGTTGTGCTCCCTGCATGGAGCCTGCTTCTCCTTCTGCCTGTGTCTCTGCCCCTCTCTTTCTCTCTCTCTCTCTCTCTCCCTCCCCTTTCTCTCCCTCTTCCTCTCCCTCTCTCCGTGTCTCGTGAATAAATAAAATCTTAAAAAAAAAGGACATCCTGTGCTGCACACAATCTTTTTAATCAACTATTTTTTGAGTTAAATAAAAATGTTTATTTGAAGAACTTACCTGTAAGAACATTTGGGTGGCTCAGTGGTTGAGTGCGTCCGGCTCAGGGCATGACCCTGGGGTCCTGGGATCGAGTCCCACATCGGGATCCCTGCTGGTAGCCTGCTGCTTCCTCCCCGTGTCTCTGCCTCTCTCTCTGTGTGTCTTTTATGAATAAATAAAATCTTTTTTTAAAACTTACTTTTAAAATAAATATATAAAAGACCCAAACACTCATTTTGGTGCAGATCATTTTAAAAGACCAAAAGGTAACAGCAGAGTGAGAAGCAAGTGGGAAGACAGAGCCCTGGGCTTTGCCCCCACATAAACACCTGGCCGCGGGGCCGCACGGTGGATGCCAGTGATACCGCTCCTGGGTCTTCTGACCTGAAGGAAGTCTCAGATTGCTCTAGAGCCTCTACTTGTCAGGCCATCGGGCACAGAAGCCATAGGCATGTGGGTGGAGCGTGGCCACTTGCAAGTCACTGGGAAGGTGCTGCCTCTGCGCGAGGACGGCACCCTGGGGTCCTGTCCCACGATGCCGCCCACGCTGGCTGAGAGAATGGCCATGGTGCAGCTGCCCCTCCCGCCCCGAGAGCTGTGGCCCTGCCAGGTGGAGCAGCAAGCGGCCTCAGCGGGAAAGGCTGGCTTCTCCTCGCGGCGGTCCCGGCTCCTCACTGCCAAGCATCTCCCGCTTGTGCTCACCGTGTGCGTTCCCTCCTGTCCCCACAGGATAGCCGTGTTCTCGGTGACCGTCCTGCACGACGAGAGGATAGTGATTGTGGCCGAGCAGCGGCCGGACTCCACGGAGGAGGACAGCTTCCAGTGGATGAGCAGGGTGCTTCAGGTAGCTCTTCCCCGGCCAGGGCCCCTCTCTGCCTTGGGGCCCGCTGCCCTTAGCCGCCCCCTGGGAGGCGGCCAGCCTCGCGACCTGGGCTCCTGGACCAGAAGTAGCATTGCCTCGGAAGCTTCTGTGTGCGTTTCTGGGAAATAACTAAGCAGACTGCGGTTTGGGGTCAGAGGTTGGTGGCTGCCACCATTCACTTGGGGATGCGACAAGTGATGGCACTCTTTCTGACCCCTGAGTCTTTCCTTTCTCGGTGTGCACAGAAGTCCACAAATGCCACATGGGATTGCTCAGTTTGCTGGGTTTGAGGGGATGTCTGTTGTCTTGTGTCTTCACCCCGCTCCTGCAGCTCGTGTTCCTGCGTGTGACGGGCAGTGCCTGGCATGGTCTGCATGTTTGCCTGACGCTGGTGGGCAACACCTGCCCTAACGTGGTTCCCTCTCCCCTGACCTTGCAGGCGATTGACAGCATACATCAAGTCGGGGTTTACTGCCTGGCTTTGGTCCCGGCGAACACCCTCCCCAAAACTCCACTTGGTGGGATCCACTTGTCGGAAACAAAGCAGCTCTTCCTGGAGGGCTCCTTGCATCCCTGCAACGTCCTAATGTGTCCCCATACCTGTGTCACAAACCTGCCTAAACCTCGACAGAAGCAACCAGGTACATGTCACGGGCAGGCAGGGGCTGCGGGGTCTGAGGGGCCTCAGGAACCCGGTGCTGACCAGGTGCCGTGCTGTCGGCGGTGCACAGCCCTCCTTCCCTGGCGTGCACACTCCCGGGCCACGCGCTGCCCACCTGAGCGTGTGATGCGAGGGCTCCTGCCCCAGCACGTTGTGCAGGGGGCCTGGCCAGTGGGGAACGTAGGGAAGGAGCCCCCGGCTCCCGGGTGGGAGAGCTGAGGCCTGCCCTGGCCGGGTGGCCTCTTACCAGGCACAGAACTTGGCTTCAGTTTACTTGAGCACAAATTAGAGTGACAGCTGTTCCTTGTGACTCATTGAGGTGTTGAAGCGGCCAGTGTACAGGAAGGCCACTCAGAACGTGTGAGGAACCCCCTGAGTTTATCCGTGACGCTGGTGCAAGGGTGAATGCGTGCCCCATGCCTTGTGGTTGGGGATGTGTCGTTACCACAGCTCTGCCCTCCTGCCAGCCGACAGACCGTGCTCCCTGGGGCTGCGCACCATTAGCACAAAAGGGATTTATCAGGAGACTGGACGGTGAGGATGCAGTAGTCCTGCCCACACTGGCCAGAGGTCACAGGGCCTGGGACGCGGGGACCCAGGGACATTGGGGGTGGTGGGGGGTGGTCTCCCAGCCATGCAGCCAGCTTCTGCGTGTTGTACATGGACTCATCTCATCAGCCCTGGGGACAGAGCAGTGGCTCACACGTGTGCCCATCTTCCCTGGGCATGCCGCGGCCACGGTGCCTGGGGGCCTGCACCCCTTCGCCCAGTCTAGGACTTTGTGAGCTGCCAATACATTCTTTGTGCATGACGACAGTGCGACAGTCGCCCCGACTCTGGATCCTGTAGGTTTGCTTTTGGCGAAGGTTTAACAAAAATCTTACTGGGCAGCGACGTCACATGTGTGTTTCACAATCCAAGGCCTAAGCACACGCGGCTGGCGTGCTGGCTTGTCCTGCTGCCCCTGTGAGCAGCCTCCCTGCCTCAGTCTCCATCTTCCGCCCACGCTCAGGCGATGGCACAATCTCCCAGGACGGCTAGTCCTGCCCTGGGAACACGTGTACGCGTGTGATGAAAACAGTGCATCGTGGTGTCCTGAGAAAACTGGGGGGGTGCCTGGGGTTTCTCATAGTTGGGGGTGTTGAAAGTTCTTATGGAAAGTCACGTCTGGCGTTGGAAGAGGGGAGAGCTGAGAGAGCAGGTCGTACGTGCCTTTGTCCCGTGAGGAGAGCACTGGTCGTCGAGTCCGTGATGCTGGGGCCAGAGCAGCTGTGACGGGACGGGTGCCTCCTGGCCTCGTGCTCTGCCTCGTGGGCCTAGCAGGGAGCCCAGAGCGCTGGGTCTGTGTCTGTGCCGGCAGCACGTAGCACATTCCCCTGTTACCACCTTGTGTCCGTGGTCACGCGCTGAAGAGCAGTCGCTGTGGATGGTGCCGCCCACGTGACCCGGGAGCCTGGGCAGCAAGGCGCGTCTGTGTCCTGCACGGTTTCTCCCGGCAGCTGGGGTGATGGGCCCCCGCGTCCCACCCACTGCAGAGTCACGGACACGGGCTCAGGGCCCCAGGTGCACTTGGCAGGAACGCTGTTCCCAATATGTGACCCAGACCTCGAGTCATTGTCATTCTCTGTCCTGCGAGGGTTTTCTCAGCGCCTGGCCCATCCCAGGGAGCCCCCACTAGTGCGCCAGGTGGGGTCCTGACTAACTTCACCGTTTGCTTACGTTCCTTCCAGAGATCGGCCCTGCCTCCGTGATGGTGGGGAACCTGGTGTCCGGGAAGAGGATCGCACAGGCGAGTGGCCGAGACCTGGGCCAGATAGAAGACAACGACCAGGCCCGCAAGGTGAGCGCCAGGCCGGGCGCCTCCCCGAGGCCCATGCCCACAGGCTGCGACCTCACCCACGGCCCGCCCCGAGGGGACCACTGCCCTGCATCCTGCCCTCCCGGTCCAGCGGCCGCAGCCCTGTGACGTCACAGGGACCCCGTGTCTGTCGGGGTGCCGTGTGGTGGAATGCTGCCCAGGGGCCTGGCGGAGGCAGCAGGCACGGCCGCACGGCCGGGGCCGGGGGTGCCCGTCCTGTCCTGGCGTCCAGGCGCCTGTTTCTCTTTATCTGCCGCTGATGTAATTCGCAGGCGGCCTCACCGCCACCTGGTTACAAGGTCTCCGTCTTGTAATTGTCAGAACACAGAAAACACAAAGTCACAGCCCCGATTGGGGACCAGGCGTCCCTGGTGCGTCCTCAGGGGGGGAGCCCAGGGCCGCGCCCCCACGCCCATCACTCGCTCTGTGCCATGTGAGCCCCTGTCCTGGGCACTCAGGCTGTGTGAGCTGCTGGGAACGGTGACAAGGCCGGCCACAGGGCACGGTCGTGGAGACCAGAGGGGCGTCCTTTGAGAGCACTGGTCCCCGCATTCCCACCGCAGAGCAGGTTTCTGTTCATGAAGTAGGTTAGGGGCGTTCCCAGGTGTTCCCCGTGAGCAGACCCCACAGGGGTGCGTTCACCCAGATCAAGTGCGTGGGATGCGTGTCATCTGTGTGGTCGGCAGGGCCGTTGGGTGACCGCAGGGAACAACCGTGCTGCACACGGCCAGCGGGAGAGGGCCCATCCAACAGCAGGCCAGACCTGATTGCGGTGCCCGCGCGTAGGCCTTAGCATCTGCTGCGAGCCCGTCGGGGACGTGGGGGGCGGGACCCTCCCTGAGCCGGTGCAGCCCCCTCCCTGATGGGCGCGTCCACGTCCCCCAGGGCGCACCTCCCAGCTGGCTTCCCCTCTGGTCTGCCTTCCGGGATGTCCCCGTTCTCCGCGAGGGGCGCCCTGTCCTGGCCCGCCAGCAGCATGGAGGCGCCGCGGCTCCAGCATGGGGCGCGTGGGGGCCTGAACCTAACGGCTGTGCTTTCTTGCAGTTCCTGTTCCTGTCGGAGGTCCTGCAGTGGAGGGCACAGACCACCCCCGACCACGTCCTCTACACGCTGCTTAACTGCCGGGTGAGGCTGAGCGCGCGTCCAGGCCGCTCGCGGGCAGCTCCCCCTCCCCCTCCATCTTACCGGACATCCTCTTTGTTGACTGTGGTTGTTTCACATAATTTTAGTTGTTTGGTACTGTTTTCTCTAAAAAAGGGAACAGATGAGGTTTATGGGGTATTTTTGTCTCTTATTAGTTTTTTGTGAGAGGTCAGGCGTTGGTTAGACATTCACCCGTTAGAATGAAAATCGTTTTCCGCGTGTCATGAAGGTTCGTGTTGACACTTGGGTTGAAGAAGCGAGCTCACTGGTGGCGTCCGCGTGGGCTTGAGGACAAGACCTCAGACGGGCTGGTGCGGACTAGCAAACGCCAAAGTCTCCATACGCTGGGCTTTCCTGTTGCTGTGGAAGTAAAGCCGAGGCACGGAGCGCAGACGCAGGTCTCCTCCATAGGTTCCAGAGCGTCTGAGGCCCTGCTGCTCTTCCGAGCAGGGACCAGGGCTGCACCAGCTACTTTGAGTCTCCCCTGGTCGTCACACCAGTTCCCAGGTGACACGGCTCCTGGAAACCACACCTGGTCCTTCCCACAGGTGCTGCCATGGCCTCAGGCTGCCGTGGGCACTCTGTGCCCCCGTGGGTCGCCTGTGCCCGGTTGCTGTTCCAGGCATCCCCTGGAAGAGTCTTGGGACGTGGTCCTGAGCCCAGGCCATGACTTGTCTGTGCTCCTGGCCGCATGGCGCTTGCAGGCATTGCGTCCAGGCACCTCAGACGTGCCGCCCTGCTCTTCCCCCTGCATCCTCCCTGAGCTCCCTCGGCGTTCCTCGCTTCCCTAACCCGCTGCCCGGCCGGCAGTCATCAGCTGTGTCCCGCTGACTGCCTGGCCCCCTGGTGCCTCAGCGGCCCTCCAGAGTGATGAGCCGGGCATGGGTGTCCTTGCCCTCTGGAGGGATGTCTCAGACCCCGTTAGCTGCCATCCTGGCCCTTGGCGTTGCTGCGCAGGTGCTGCAGTGGTGTCGTGCGGAAACTCAAGCCGAGAGAGAGCCAGAGGCAGGTGCCCAAGGCCTCCTCCACCCTGCCCAGCGTGGCCCCTCATCTGCTCACCCTGCAGCCCCTGCAGTCGGAGACCACCCTGGCCACCCACACACACTCCCAGACACTGCATGTTCGTGGGGGACCCGTCCCCGCAGGGGGCAAAGCCTGAGCCGCTCTAACCACACCCAGCCTGGGCAGTGCCCACGGGAGAGCACAGCCCTCAGGTGGTCACCCAGGGTCCTCGGGAGCCGGCCTGGGCCGTGTGTGCTCCCACCCCGGACCCCGCGGCCACGGTCGCCTGCCACAGCGACATACTGGATCGCTGCGGAAAGCAAGTCCCCAGGAACGACCTTGTTAGAAACAATAGAAGGTCGGATGGGACGCGACAGAGGTCAGAGCCCTGACGGGTGCACCTGGGGCAGCGGGGAGGAGTCGCGGGCTGGCGAGCAGCCAGCGCTCAGCTGGGCTACAGGTCAGGGTCCCCGTGTGTGGGTCCCGCTTCCCGTGCCCTCGAGCTCAGCACCGAGCCACACGCGTGTGGACAGAAGCCGGCAGAGCTCACACTGAAGAGTCTCACCTGTGTCCAACGTGGAGTCCCTGCCGCGAGGGGCCAGCGCATGTCCCTGTGTCCCCGTCCTGCGTGGCGCCTTCTGTGGCTTGTGCGTTGGGGACGTGACAAGGTTCCTGCGAGAGCAGCTTCCCATCTGTGCCAGCAGGCCGCGTGCGTGTGCGCTCTCCGCGGTTGCGCCATCGTGCCGAGAGAGTCGGCTTTACGGGGGCTGCGGGCTGCGGGGTCTGCTGTGCATACGGGAGACCGTTCCTTATTTTTAACGGGAACACGAGCCAAGTGTTTTCAAAACTTTTTTTTTTTCTTTTAAGTTCCAGCAACTTCCTTAGAATTTTAAACTCTAAGTTCAACTTGGCTTTTCCTTAATTTCTCATATTTTTTACTCACTGCTTAGTTCAGTGTAAAACTTCAAAGTGATGCCGCAGTTCACAGCCTTGTTGATGTGGGCCGGGGGTTGGGTGGCGGCCACCCCGCACTCCCTTCCGTCGTGATTCCCCCCAAAACATCCGTGAGGGGAGGTCAGCCCTGATTTCTGCGGCGAGGCGGTTTCTCCCAGGCTCTTCCTGTGCGGAAACCTCGCTCTCCCCTGTGGGTGTGGACGGGGCTGCCGCCGGGTGGGCCGTGCACCTGTGGCCATCGTCGCCAGTGCCAGGGGTGTCTCTGGAGGCGGAGGCTGCTTGGGAGCCCCCCAGGGGCCTGGGGCCAGGCGTGGCCTGTGCCCAGAGGGCTCCCTGGAGTCCGGGCGGGGTGGGGAGGGCGGAGGTGGCTCCCCATGCACCGTGGGGCCGGGGGCAGCTTCGATCCCCGGGCGCTGCCGCTGACTCCGGAGAGGAGCCACTGCCGGGGCTTCTCTGCTCACATCACAGCTGCTATGAGGGCGAGCGCCGTCCTGACGCTTCCAGAGGCACCAGGGATAGAGGCACGCCCCGTCCTGTGTCCCCGTACCCTGCCTCAGTGGGTCTCCAGCCACCAGGCGGCGCAGCTTCTCAGGCACACCGTCCACGGCCCTCCCACGCTGTCCCGTGACGCAGAGGCTGCGTGTCCAGAGGCCTGGCGTCAGATCTCCCAGAACCAGGGAGCCCAGCTCCTGGCGGGGGGGGGGGGGGGGGGGACAGCCCGGGGCAGTCTAGCCCAGCGCAGGGAGACGGGGGACCGGCCATGACCCACGGCAGCATGGCCTCCCCTGGCTGACGCTCGCGGTGCTGGCTGCGCCCAGACAGCTCGGCCCCGCACCGCCACCTTGGCTTGGACGTGCCCGAGGACGCCAGGGGCCCCAGCACTGGTTGGGGCTGGGGCGCAGGGGTCGTCTGAGGACGCCAGTGTATCCAGTGTTGGCGGCTCCGCTTCAGCCTCCCCGGCCCGTGCTTGCCCAATTGACGTGCATTGCCATCGCCTCATGCCTTAGCTTCCCTCGGAGGAAAGACCGTGAAGGGAAGCGTGTGACGGGAAGGTTCCCCCGGGGCTGGGCCAGTAGGGCCTCCCCCCGCCCGAGCTCGGCGGCCCCGGGGCCCCACCAGTCCAGGGGCCCACGCTGCGGCCTGGAGCTCTACGCGGCGGCGGTTTGGGAACAACTGTGGCTGCCGTGGGGGCCGGTGGTTGTGTCCTGGGAGGGAAGCCGCACAGCCCTCCCCGAGCAGGTGCCTCACAGACGGGCCGCGTACACGGGGATTCTGCATGTGTCCCCAGCCTGCCACAGCCTGCGTCCGGGGGTCCCGGGGTTCGGTCACGTCTGCCTGCACGGCGTTGCCTCCCTGCCCAGAGCACCGCTCCCTGCTCTCCCTCTGGACTCTGCCCTCGCGCGTGACGTGTGCGTCCCGGGCCCGAGATCCTTCCTGCCACTCGCTCTGCGGGTCGGCACGGTGCTGCCCGCTGCCGTGGGCCTTTCCGCGGTGGACCCTCCCCGGGCATGGACTGCTGACCACATCCAGGAAGCCCGCAGCCTGGCGCTGTGGATCCTTCACGGCCCGGCTTCACTTTGTTCGGCACTTGATGTTGACTGGAGCTCCTCGGGAGGTTGCTGCGGTGCTTTTAAGATAATTTCTGGTCCAAACATAGTTTCCTTTCGTTTCTCTGTGTTGACCCCACAGAAATGAATTGGACGGTTCATTTTTCCCTGTACTGGTTTGTTGTTTGGGGTTCTTTTTTGTTTTTAGACTTTCTCAACTTTCAATGTGGTGTTTGTTAAAAATATTTTCAATTTGTCTTATATTTCCTGACTTTCCCTGTCCTTGGCGATTAACCTGAAGTCCCAAAATTACCAGGTTAATTTGCTTTTGTAAGTTTAGCTATTTTTTTAGGTTAAGTAACTATTTTTTTTAAAGAATTCATTTATTTGAGAGACAGTGTGAGTTGGGGGGACGGGCAGGGGAGAGAGAATCTCAAGCAGACACTACACTGAGCGTGGAGCCTGACCTGGGGCTTGATCCCAGGACCCCAAGGTCATGCCCTGAGCAGAAGTCGAGACCCAGATGCTTCACCGACTGAGCCAGCCAGGCGCCCCAAGTAATTTTTTTTAATATTTCTGGTTGGGGCTCCTGGGTGACTCAGTGGGTGAAGCACCTGCCTCGGGTTCAGATCATGGTCCCGGGGTCCTCAAATCAAACCGCGCGTTAGGGGCTCTGCGCAGCAGGGGTCTGCTTCTCCCTCTGCCGCTCCCCCCACTCATGCACTCGCTCACTTGCTGTATCTTAAGTAAGTAAAACCTTTTTAAAAATAGAATACTTTTTGTTTACGTGAGCATATCTAGATGGCTCTTTGGTGCTGCCCTTAGCCTGTGGGAAGGAGAGGGCACTGACCACCAGGGGCACAGGGTCCTGGGGAAGTGACCAAAATGTGCTAACAGTGCCCACAGGTGTGCAGACTCACTACCATCAACGTAGGTGTGTGTCTGGAATCGGGATTGGCTGGTTCCTGCAGGACGCCTCATTAAGCTGTTAGGTCAAAAAACCACTCCCCTGTTGTGCTTGCGATCCTCAGGGAACGATAGCAAGCTCGCTGACGTGCGTGCAGCTGCATAAACGTGCTGAAAAGATTGCCGTGATGCTCATGGAGAGAGGACACCTGCAAGACGGGGACCACGTGGCTCTCGTCTACCCACCAGGTGAGGAGGCGGCCGCGCTGGCTCACCTCACCGCCTGTGTTCTGGCCCAGCAGCCACTGGTGCTGCGTTTCGCGGGGCTCACGGCGTCTGGTCACCCCCCTCTGGTGTGTGGGGACGGTGGCGTGTGCAGTGAGACTTGGGGGCATCACTGGGATGAAATCCTGCACGCGTTTGTATCCGTTTGTTTTATCACATATCTGAAGTAGTTCACTTAATCGATGATTAAATCCTTGGCTACACTGAGAACCGTGGTGTCGAGCAATCCCTTAGCGAAATGAGAGAAAGGAAGCTTGGGCTCCTCGAGGAATAGGCCGCCGGGCAGTTGGAGCTGAAGCCCGGGTGCCGCAGCAGAGGGCGGGCAGTGGTCTGGGGCCCCAGGCTGGCACCTCACCTGACGGGGACGGGTCGAGTGGCGTGAGAACCCTGCTGTTTCCTCCCCACATAGGAATAGACCTCATCGCGGCGTTCTACGGCTGCCTGTACGCCGGTTGTGTGCCCATAACCGTCCGCCCCCCGCACCCGCAGAACATCGCGACCACGCTGCCCACCGTGAAGATGATCGTGGAGGTAACCCTGCCTGCGGGGGCCGGGCCTTCCTCTTCCTGGGGCGGGGGCGGGGGGCAGCCTCCTCCCGTCGTTCTGGAAGCAGGATTTCAGCCCGTGTATGAACCTGCACCGGGAACGGAGAGCAGGAGCTTTGTTTCAAACTGATGGAAATGTCCTGTGTTTTTTTAATAGTTACTTATTTAAGTCGTCCCTACACCCACGTGGGGCTCAAACTCACGACCCCGAGATCGAGTCACAGGCCTCTGCCTGAGTCGGCCAGGTGCCCCGAGGGTCATTGTGTTCCTTGCTCGAGATTCAGAAACGCCCCGTTCCTTCTTGAATCACAGATGTAATTTCTCTTACGCTTGGGGAAGTTGAAAAGGACCAGGAAGAGCTTTTCCCCCTGGAGGAGGAGGCAGGAGGACAGCCCAGCCTGGGCCCAGCCCAGGAGTCGGGCCGTGTTGGAGCGCTGACCGTGGTCATGTCAGTGGGTGTAGGCGGCAGCCCTCGAGGCACTTGGGTGGGCTGCTCCCCTGTGAGCACGTTCATAAGCACGGTGTCCCTTGGCTCCAGAAACCCCCAGGGCCTCGGCGGCGCCGGTGAGCGCTCAGCCGGGGCTCCTGGCTCTCGGGCCTCCACCAGAGGCTGCCTGGTGGCACCAGCGGCCTCGCAGCGCGTCTCCGCAGGGGCACCATATGACGGCTCGCCACTTCCTGAACCACACGTTGTCTGCCCCCCAGGTGAGTCGCTCTGCCTGCTTGATGACAACGCAGCTGATCTGCAAGTTGTTACGGTCCAGGGAGGCAGCCGCGGCGGTAGACGTCAGGGCCTGGCCCCCCATACTGGACACAGGTCAGTCCTCGAGCCCACCACGTACCTCCCTCTGCTCGTCCGCGTTCCCACTGGGTCTGCTGTGCTAACACCTTCGTTTTGCTCCAGATGATTTGCCAAAGAAGCGGCCTGCCCAGATCTACAAACCTTCCAACCCAGACACGCTAGCTTATCTTGACTTCAGTGTGTCCACAACTGGGATGCTCGCTGGAGTGAAGGTGAGAAGCACACTCTGCGGGGCGCGGTTACAGGCCGCCTGGGGCTGTCCCCCGACCCACTTTTGTAAGACTTGACGGGGCGTGTGATAGGGCGCATACCTGCCCTTCACGGAGGCTGTGCGGTACGTCACCGTGTCCGTGGTTACCTAGGCTGGCCGCTTAGTTCCAAATGTTCCAACTATGTTTTCGTGTGTAAATACAGCCTCGTTAGCCCCTAATAAACAAATGCGTGTTTCTCTTCTTGCCAGTTCTCAAATCCTGGTGTTGTGTCCTAAAACTCTGTGCCTGGGGTTCCTTGCTCTTTGAGCCTGGGTTCTGTCCTGGCTGGCTGCGTCGCCCACTGCCCACGGCAGTGACCCTCAATCCCACCAACAAATGGAACTGCCGTGGACCCGTGAATGACTTGGGTTTAGGAGCGCCAACCCCCACGTGCAGTCGAAAATCCACGTATGACTCTGACTCCCCCAAAACTTAGCTGCTAATGGCCTGCCGCGGACTGGGAATGTTGCCAGTGACGGAAACAAGCCGGTTTTGTGTGTTTTGAGTATTATATGCTGTGTTCTCGCAGTAAAATGATCCAGAGAAAAGGAAATGCTGTTAAAAACTAACGAGGGAGAGGATGCGTTCACAATCCAGCTCTCTGAATACCTGTGTGTAGGTGGGCTGGACGCACACCTGTCCCCTCGTGAGGACCCTCAGGGCCCGGGCGGTGTCCCTGTCAGGGTACTGGTACGTCCTCTGTAGCCTCGGGAAGCCCTCGGGGGTCTGACCCTCCCTTTGGGCCATTTACCTCAGTCTTCTTTTTTTACTCTTATTTATCAATTTTTTTTTTTACTGTGGTTAAATACACGTAACAAATACACCCTAATAACCGATCTAAGGGTACGTGTTCCGTGGTATTAAAACACTGTCATGGAGCCGTCCCCTCCCCGCACCCACCACCTCCTTTCTGTTGCTGGGATTTTGACGACCCTGGGGACCCCGTAGAAGTGTGGAGCCCTACTGCACTGCCCTTTTGTGACTGGCTCGTTTCAGGTACTGCCAGGTCCCGGGGGTTTCTCTGTTGTCACGGGTGTCAGAATTCCTTTTTGAGGCAGAGTTAACGTTCCATTGAAGGAATTCACGTTTGGCCTATGTGTTCATCTTCAGTTAACAGTGGGGTTGCTTCCAGCTTTCGGGTCCCATAAGGAACGCTGCTGTGAGCATACAAGTACAAGCACCTCTTTGGGGTATATGCCAAGGGGTGGAACTATGGGTCATATGGGGATTCCATTTCTTTTTTTTTTTTATAATTTTTTTATTTATTATTTATGCTAGTCACACACACACACAGAGAGAGAGAGAGAGAGGGAGAGACACAGACAGAGGGAGAAGCAGGCTCCATGCACCGGGAGCCCGACATGGGATTCGATCCTGGGTCTCCAGGACTGCGCCCTGGGCCAAAGGCAGGCGCCAAACCACTGTGCCACGCAGGGATCCCAGGGATTCCATTTCTAATCTGGGAGCGAACTACCATATTGTTGTCCATTGTGGCCACACTGTTTCACCTTCTTCTCATCCTCACCAACTCTTAAGAGTTTTCTGGTGTTTTGTTGTTTTTTTCAGTAGTCGACATCCTAATGGGTGTGCAGTGGTATCTCGTGGTGGTTTTGATTTGCATTTTCCTAATGATTATTAATGGTAAGCATCTTTTCATGTAGTGATTGGTCTTTTACATGTCTTTTTTGGAGAAATGTCCATTCAAGTTCTTTGAATCAAGTTGCTTACTTTGTTGTTGAGTATAACAAATTTTCTGTGTATTCTGGTTATTAATCCCTGAATTTTTTCCTGTTCTGTAGATTGCCTTCTTACTCTGGATAGTGTCTTTTGATGCACAAAATTTTTAAATTTTCATAAAGTCCAATTTTGTGGGTTTTTTTGGGGGGGCGGGGCTCATGCTTTTGGTGACATCTAAGAAATCATTGCCAAATCCAGCGTTATAGAGCTTTCATCCTCTTTTTTCCAAGATTTTCATTGTGTTGGGTCTTATATTTCTAATTTTCCTATGTGGTGGTAGGTAAAAGTCCAGCCTCATTCTTCTGCATGTGGAGATCGAATTTTCTCTGCACCATTTCTTGAGAAGACTCTCTTTTCCCACATTGAATGGTCTCAGCACCCTTGTCAAAAATCAGTTGGCCATATATGCAAGGGTTTATTTCTGGGCTCTGTATTCTTTTCTGTTGATCTGTGCATCAGTTTTTATGCCAGTACTGCACTGTTTTGATGACCGTATATTTGTAGTAAGTTTTTAAATCAGGAAGTATGAGTCCACTGTTTATTTTCAAGATTGGCTATTCAAATTTCCTTGAGATTCTGTATGAATTCTATGATGTATTTTCTACTTCTACAAAAGACACCATTGATATCTTGATGGAGATTGTTTTGAGTCTGTGTTGTTTAGGGTAGTGTTGATGTCTATGAATATGTTATATGTTTCCATTTATTTATGTCTTTAATTTGTTTGGTAATATTTTATAGTTTTCATTGTCAAGTCTTTCACTTCTTTGATTAATTAATTCCTAAGCATTTTATTCTTTGATACTATTGTAAATGGACTTGTTTTAATTTTCTCTTCAGATTTTCATTTAATGTATAGAAATGCAAGTGATCTTTATATGCTGACTTCTTATCCTGCTACTTTACTGAATTTATGATTTTTAACAAATTTTTTGTATGAAGTATTTAAGAGTTTTCTACATTTAAGTTCATTTTACCTGTGAACAGAGATACTTATACTTTTCCAATCTGAGTGCCTTATATTTATTTTTCTTACCTAGTTGCTTGGGCTGGAACTTCCAATACTATTCTGAATACTATTCTGACAGAAAAGCAGGCAAATTGTAGAAGTAAAGCTTTGAGTTTTTCACGGCTAAGTATGATGTTCTCTGTGTTTTTTCATATATGGCTATTATTGTGTTGAGGCCCTTTTTTCTGTTCCTAGTCTATTGAGTGTTTTTATTATAAGAGGATGTTGAATTTTGTCAGATCTTTTTTTTTTTTGCATTAATTGAGATGATCATATGGGGGTTTTCCCCCTCATTCTTTTATTGTCATATACGATTGATTTTTTAAAATATTTGTTTTTAAGTAATCTTTACGCCCAATATGGGGCTCAAACTTCTAACCTCGGTATGAAGAGTCACATGCTCCTCCAACTGAGCCAGCCAGGTGCCCCCCGTTGATTCTTTTTTTATACATAGAGCCGATATTGCTTTCCAGACACAAATCCCACTATTGTATTAAGTCTTTTAATATGCTACCACATTGGGTTAGTACTTTGTTGAGGATTTTTGCATTAGTGTTCAGCAAGGATATTAGTCTGTACTTTTCTGTTTTTAGGGTATCTTTGACTTCATAGAATGAGTTAAGTGTCTTCTTCAGTTTTTTGGAAAAGTTTGAGAAGGGCTGGTGTTAGGTTCATCTATTTTTTTAATAAGATTTATTTATTTATTTTAGAGAGGAAACGCTGACACGAGTGTATGTTGTGGGGAAGGACAGAGGCATAGCGGGGAGAGAATCCCAGGCCGACTCCCCACTGGGAATGGAGCTCAATGTGGGGCTCTGTCTCAAAACCCTGAGATCATGACGTGAGCTGGAATCCAGAGTCAGACTCTTAACCGACCCAAAGAGCCACCCAGGCACCCTGGTGTTAGTTCACCTTTAAATGTTTGGTAGATTTTATCAGTGAAGTCATTGGTGCAGGGCTTTTCTTTTTCTTTTCTTTTCTTTTTTTTTAATATTTTATTTATTTATTCATGACAGACACAGAGACAGAGGCAGAGGGAGAAGCAGGCTCCATGCAGGGAGCCCGATGCGGGACTCGATCCCGGATCATCTTGAGCCAGAGGCAGACGCTCAACCGCCGAGCCACCCAGGCGTCCCTGGTGCAGGGCTTTTCTTTGTTGGGAAATCTTTACTAATTCAATCTTCTTATTACTTACAGGTTTATTCGGATTTTTTTGTTGTTCGTGATTTAGTCTTGGTAGGTTTTGTGTTCCTTTTTGATAATTTGTGTTTCCCTTGCCATGAAAAGGAACTTCTCCATTTCATACAGAAGTTGTGGATGTTCATAGTACACTCTTATAATTACATTTAATTCTGTAGAATCCACTGTAAATGTCTCTACTTTCATTTCTGATTTTAGTAATTTGGGTGTTTGCTCCTTTTTTTCTTAGTCCATCTAGATAAAGGTTTGTTCTGTTGATCATTTCAAAGAACCAACTTTTGTTTTCATTGATTGTACTATTTCTCCATTTGCTTATCTCTCCTCTCCTCTTCATTATTGCCTTCTTTTGCTAGCTTTGGGTTTAGCTTGTTCTTCATTTTCTAATTCCTTAAGTAGTAAAGGTAGGTGGTTGATGTGAGATCTGTCTTGTTTTTAAACATAACTGTTTATATAAATGTCTGCATTAACATGGCTTTTGCTGTGTTCTGTAAGTTTTGGTATGTTGTATTCCATTTGCATTTGTGTCTGAGTATTTTCTGATTTTCCTTGTGATTTCCTTGTGGTTATTTGAGGGTGCATTTCTTAAATTTCACAAGTTGTGACTTTTCCAGTTTTCCTTCTCCTAACAGTTCCTAACTCCATCCTTTTTGTGGCCTAAAATATGGTCTATACTGGAAAACGACCCAAGTGCTCTAGCAAAAATTGTATATTCCATTGTGGTTGAGTGTTCTGAACTCCCCTCACATCTCTTTGGTTTATTGTATTAAGTCTCTCTCTCTCTCTCTTTTCTTTAACATGTTGTCTTTCTGGTTGTTCTGACCATTATTGAGAATAAGGTATTGAAGTCTGTCTCTCTGAAGAAATACAGTTTCTCCCTTTAGTTTTGTCCATTTTTGCTTCATATGTTTTGATGATCTGTTGTCAGGTGTGCAGATGTTTATAACTGATTAATCTTCTTGCCGTACCAAGCCCTTTATTAATATGTAGTGCCTTTGTCTCTTGAACCTTCTTTGAAGTCTGTATGTCGAGTATTAGTTTAGCTGCCTCTGCTTGGCATACAATCAGTAACCAAAACAATTGTCAGTTGGTTAATGTTTGCATAGAATGTCTTTATGCATTCTTTCACTTGCAGACTACTTGTGTCTTTTGATCTAAAATGAATCTCTTGGGGGCACATAGATGGCACAGTCAGTTGGGGGTCTAACTCTTGGTTTCCACTAGGTTTGTGGTCTCAGGGTCATGAGATCCAGCCCCACATAGGCTCCACACACAGCACAGAGTCTGCTTGGAGTTTCTCTCTCTCTTTCCTGTGGACCCCCCCCACACACACACACACATTCTCTCTCTCTCTCATCCTTTCAAATAAATAAATCTTTTTTAAAATATGAGTTTTTTGTAGGCAACGTATGGTTGGATCATGTATTTTACTCTGCCAATTTTTGTCTTTGGAGAGTTAATCTGTTTAATTTAAACTAATTACTGATAAGGGACTTCTGTGGGGGCACCCAGTGCTGCAGATGATTAAGCATCTGACTATTTCAGCTCAAGTCATGATTTCAGGGCCATGAAATCTAACTCTGTGTTGGGCTCCCCACTCAGCAGGGAGTTTGCTTGAGATTCTGTCTCCTTCTGCCCCTCGCTCTGCTCACACACTCTCTTGACCTCTCTAAAATGAATGAATGAATGAAATTTATTTTTTAAAAAGAAGGAACTTCTGTCATCTTGCTCTGTATTTTCCATATGTCTTACAATCTTCCTGTTACTCATTTCCTGAATTACTATCTTGTTTTGTGCTTAGTTGATTTTTTATAGTGAAACATTCAAATTCCTTTCTCATTTCCTTTTGTATATTTTCTACACATTTTGTCCTTGAGATGACTATGGGGATTGTGTTGGACAGCCTACAAATCCAGTTTGGATTACACCCGCTTAATTTCAGGGACATTAAAAACTGCTCCATCTCCACCTCTCTCACTCTGTGGCCCAAAATATGTGGCAATACTTCTTTTAAATGCATTGGTCTCTTAAGTTATATAGGGGAAAAAATGGAATTTAAAGCCAAAGTTACAGTGACAGTTTTGAAGCTGATAATTGTTTTGTTTGACTGTATTAGTCTCTTAAGCCATGTAGAAAATGAAAAGTGGGGGATCCCTGGGTAGCGCAGCGGTTTGGTGCCTGCCTTTGGCCCAGGGCGCAATCCTGGAGACCCGGGATCGAATCCCACATCGGGCTCCCGGTGCATGGAGCCTGCTTCTCCCTCTGCCTATGTCTCTGCCTGCCTCTCTCTCTCTCTCTCTCTCTCTCTCTCTCTCTCTATCATAAATAAATTTAAAAAAATTAAAAAAAAATGAAAAGTGGAGTTATATAAAGTATTGCTACAGTTATACTAGCTTTTATAAAAAGCCATTTATTTATTTTACAGAGTGGGAGAGAAAAAGGGGGTGTGGGGGTAGAGGCAGAGGGAGAGAATCCCAAGCTCCCTCCCACTGAGCATGGAGCCCAACTCGGGGCTCGATCCCAGGACCCTGAGATGACCTGAGCTGAAATCAAGAGTCAGATGCCCAGCCAACTGAGCCACCCAGGTGCCCTAGGATTTTACACTAGGGTTTATAATTGCCTTGTATTTACCTTTACTGCGATCCTAATTTATTCAGTTGGCTTCAGGTTATGTCTAATGTCTTTCTATTTCAACCTGGAGGACTCTCTTGAGCCTTTCATGGCAGGTCTAAATGTAATGCGTCCCCACAACTTTCTCCTTAATGGGAATGTCTTAATTTTTCCAAAATTAATTACCACTGACTGCCCAAGCCTTAACAGACTCCAGTGCTCCAAATAGTTTCATCATTTTCTGCCCACGCAGTTGTTATCTGGTTGCTATGGAGACCGTCTTCCCGGGATCTTCCCTGCTTTTCAGTAGAATCCGAGGTGCCAAGCCAAATAAAGTGCAATATAAAATAAAATAATTCTTCAAAAGCCTTTTGAAGATTTATTTATTTGAGGGAGCACGTGTGTGCACCAGCAGAAGGGACAGAGGAAGAGAGGATCTCAAGGAGACTCCACACTGAGCAGAGCTCAGCCCCGGGGCTCGAACTCACAACCCTGAGATCATGACCTGAACAGAAATCAAGAGTCAGTCACTTAACTGACTGACTCCCCCCCCCCCCCCGGGCACCCCTTCAAAACCCTTTTGGAGTACAGATTTCTTTTCAGACCAGGATGAGGGAGTTAGCACACTGCCCAAAGTGGCCTTGAGCTGCCTCCAGTCATAGCCGAAGGGAAACACACCCTTGGATCCTTCGCTTGTCCTGATCTACAGAGTGGAGGCTGTCATGTTACATCCTGATTCCATAAAGGTGCTTGTCCTTGAAACAGAGGTAAAGTGATCTGTGCTGTTACTACTTGGGGATTCCATTTAATAGAAGCATAAACCCTGGGGATCCCAGAGAGATGAGTGACTAGACTTTCAGATTTATGAAAGCTTTCTTTTTTAAAGATTTATTTATTTTAGAGAGTGGGTGCAGGGGGCGGGGAGGGGCAGAGGGAGAGAGAAATTCTAGCAGAGTCTGCTGAGCGTGGAACCCAGTGCAGGGCTCGATCCCATGACCTGAGCCAAAAACAAGAGTTGGCTGCTGTGCCAACTGTGCCACCCAGGCACCCCTCAAATTTATGGAAGTTTTTGTTCAACTTTTGACATATAATTTGTTTGACGAGTACCTGAGATGAAGTATGTTGTGATTTCATTTAATGAACGCTCATATTCCTTAAATAGAGCTGAAATCATCTGGTTTATAGTCTTACAATGGAAATCCCTCTACGTCTTGGGTGGCCCATGTCACCGTGTTTCTTGGAAATGTTCATTCATTTTCAGCTTTTGGACAAAGATGTCTTTGAGTATTCAGCTCAATACCAAAAATTAAGAGAGAGTAGTTTACCCAGTAAACATTTTTTTTCGTAATGGGTACTGTTTAACCTCTGATTTAGAAGATGACCCATGAGGATATGTTTATATGTTCGGTTTGAGTTTTATAATATTCTTCAAACGTGTAATGTGAACTCTGAGGGTTCTGGATGGATCCTGGGTGAACGTTTGCTCGGCACCAACCAGAAGTCACGTGGAGGACCCGTGTGGCCTCCGACGGACTACCCTGTGGGTGTCCCCGCAGGACATTGTAGCCTGGTGGTAGCTTTCCCTTCCACCACGTGTCATCCTGCTCACTTTGAGGTGGTGTGGGCGGCTGAATGGCACACTGGAAGGTAAACCTTTCCAAGAGATATCCTGAGATGCGTCTGAAAAATATAGTTGCCGTCCCCCCGATTTCCCCAACTTACACGTCTGCTCTGCATGTTAGAGTTAGAGCGTCAGAGCTTACTGTTTGGGGCTCAGCTGATCCTTTATCCCGGTCCAAGTCTGTCTCCACGAGAACTGGGCGTTGTTCTTCCAGGTTGGGCTATTGGTCTGTGATGCTGAGGGAGTCCAGAATCGCAGTGAGCATGGACGTGAGGCGTTCAGCTTTCCTGGTTGCATTTGTCTCTGTTCTCACACTGAGGGATCTGCTCCTGCTGACTCACCCCCAAGACCCAGGGCCCCCACCAGGGCGCGGTGAGAGCCCATCCTCTGCTCCCCACGCGCTCCGTAGGAGTGCTCACAGACCCCCAGGGAGCAGAGCTCGCTCGGTTTTCCACTGGCTTGTAAGCTCCTGAGGCTGAAGGCCGTGTTCCACTCTGCTCCGAGCACCTGAGGCAACGACTGGTCCATCAGCCTCGCTTGTACACGAACATTTGTTGAGCTGAAGGATCGGCTCGCTCCTGCCACCAGCACTGCCTGCCGGAGCAGGGGCTCGGCAAAGGTTGTTTTCAGTGAATCTGAGAACATGGGTAATTCAGGAAGTTAGGACCTTACTAATGCTCGATTCAGCAGCTGGGAGTTGGAGGAGCGTTTCATAAATGCAGCGTTTCTCGCATCCTCCAGTGTCGTGGCTGGACCGCCCGTATGTGAAGTTCTGCAGTGGTTCTGTATTACGTCGTGTGGGTTCCCTCGAGTGCCCCCTATGAAACGCGCTGCCAGAGCTACTCAGGCTCCCGTGTTGGGGATGGCGTCCCCCACGCCCGGCATCCTCCGCTGCTGCCAGGGTGACTAGGGGTGCTGTCACAGGCATCCCGGCCGGGTCTGCCCTCACACTCAGGTCTGGGGGACATCCACCTCAGATCCTAGGCTTGACTGGCTAGAAAGCTTCTATGAGAAAATTGATTTTGTTGGACACACTTTGTGGTAGTTTATAATAAACATTACACACTGGCTCCGAGGCCCCCTTCCTGTCACCTCCATCACACAGGGGTGACAGCGGAGACGGGAGCTTGGATGACTTGCACGTCCCGCTGCCCCCGGCCCTGATTCTGGCTCAAGTGTGAGTGACCTTCCCCGAGCCTGGTCCCTCATCGTTGGGGTGGGCTGTTCCTCCACTATGCCTGGTGACCCTGCCGCATGACAGGCAGGTGTTGGGCCTGGACACGAGTCCACGTCACACGCAATCCCTGCCTGGAGCGGGGCTGCAGGCGGTGGTACCTGTGCAGTTGCTGGAGGACCTCTTAGTGCTAAGCTGCTTTTCAGGTGCTTGAGTTGCTGGCCTCCCAGCCCCGGGGGCACTAGAGGCTGTGCATGGGGTTGGGTTGTTGACAAGGGAGGGCTAGGGCTGATGGGCCGGTGGCGGGGGGCGGGGGGGGATTGACGGGGCGGAGGAGAAGCTCACGGGAGTGGAGGGGCTGATGGGGCGGAGGGGGGCTCACGGGGGTGCTGATGGGGCAGAGGGGGGCTGATGGGGTGGGGGGCTGACTTGGGTTCACGGGGGTGGAGGGGCTGACGGAGGGGGGCGCTGTCTTGGGGGGTGCCGACGGGTCAGCAGCCACTCTTCTTGCTCCGGAGCCAGAGCTTGGTGACAGGTGCCCCCTGCCAAGATGCCCCTGGCGTGGGGCCAGGCTGGGGCCTAAAGGCAGCCTTGCTGTCTTGCAGATGTCTCACGCAGCCACCAGTGCCTTCTGCCGCTCCATTAAGCTGCAGTGTGAGCTGTACCCCTCCAGAGAGGTGGCCATCTGCTTGGACCCCTACTGTGGACTGGGCTTTGTCCTGTGGTGCCTCTGCAGGTGAGTACCTCCCCGGCCTTGACCACATGTGTGCGTTTGCAGAGCGGATGCCACGGTGTGTGGCGGGCCCCTGCCTCCCTAGGGCCCAGCTGCGGCTGGCCACAGATGGGTCCCTGTCCCGTCCCTCCTTGGCCCTACCCCTGGGAGTTGATGTGCACCTGCACAGGGACCGCAGACGCCAGGCTACTGGGAGGCTGCCTGGTGCCGACCCTGTTTCCAGGCCAAGACTCCGGCCCAGGCCCTGGTTCTCTGCCTTTAAATCCTAGCAGTTTCCCTGTCCCGGAATCGGTATTAAATCAGGGTGGAAGGGGGGTGGAGGGTACGAACCTCAGCTGCCGGGAGGCCAGGAGCCGGGTCCCTGGGGACCCCTGCCCTGCCCTCTGCCAGCATCTGATCCCTGCCCTTGCACGCCCCATGCACTCCCCGCCCCTGTACACCCTGCACCCACCTTGCATCCCTCTCACCCTCCTACCCCCTGCACACCCCCACCTACCCGTTGCAGGCTCAGCCAGGGTTTGCAGGGAGGGTGAACACCACAGGTTTACCAGCATTTCTTCAGACCATCCATACATGTTCTCTGTAGAAACTTCAGAAAGTACAAAGTAATGTGAGGAACTTAAGGTCCTCTGTGATCCCCATCCAGTGACACCAGAAAATACTCACTGTTAGCATCTTGGATCTCATCTTCCAGTTTCATTTGAAAGGTAGCGTCCTTAAGGCTTCAGGCGTCTGCAGGTGCATGACGATCATCTGTGCCCACCGTCGGGCTCCCCACGGGCCAACATTTGGACCATTTTGTTCCATCTCTCCTTCCAGTTTTTTCTGCTCTCACTTTATAGGCAGCGTTCTAAGTCAGTCACCAGATAGCATGATTTCACCCTAAACCTTTAAGTTTGCATAGTTTTCTAACTCTGCTTTAATGCAAGCATCAATCTGAAAGGGGTTATGATTTACTTTCTTCTTAATAGGCTCTAGTAGACATTCTCTCTCTTTTTTTTTTTTAAGATTTATTTAATTAGGGAACCCTGGGTGGCGCAGCGGTTTGGCGCCTGCCTTTGGCCCGGTGTGCGATCTTGGAGACCTGGGATCGAGTCCCACGTTGGGCTCCCGGTGCATGGAGCCTGCTTATGTCTCTGCCTCTCTCTCTCTCTTTCTCTCTCTCTCTGTGTGTGTGTGACTATCATAAATGTAAAAAAAAAAAAAAGATGTATTTAATTATTCATGAGAGACACAGAGCGAGGCATAGACACAGGCAGAAGGAGAAGCAGGCTCCATGCACGGAGCCCAACACAGGACCTAATCCCGGGACCCGGGGGTCACGCCCTGGGCTGAAGGCGGCACTAAACCCCTGAGCCACCTGGGCTGCCCTCTCTTGTGTCTTTAAATGCACTTTGGGAAATAGTTATTATGCATTTGTAATATCTAATAGTATTAAGTCAGATGAAAATCCAGTCCTGTGTTTTTGAACAACACTGGCATTTATTCTAATTAGAACAATTAAACTTTCCAAGAGAGCAAATTGAATTAAATTAAAATATTTAATGATTTTTGCCTCTCTGTAAAATGCAGTAGCATCGTGGGTAATTTTTTTTTGGGGGGGGAATAGTTAAGAATACAGCATTCCAGCAGTGACCCTTGGCTGACTGAGAAAGAAGCCTGTCCCAAAGCACCAACTTTATAGGGGACTGTGTGTTGGCAAAGGTGCTGGTAAAGCCGAGGCCAGTGGATGCAGTGCTTTCCCGTCCCTCTGGCTTGTGGAGCCTCACGCTTGTGACACGGACAGAGCGACTGATGGGAAAGGAGGTTACGTGTGGGGTGCATTCGGGGCTCTTGAATGGCTTATAAGGAGCCCTTACCTAATGAACATCTTCAAATTCTTTTAGAAGTCATGAAATTACAGCATTCTCTGGATTGCGCCTGCGGCACTAAAAATGAATACGTGATACCTCAACGTCTTGCTTCTGAACTCCTCTGTAGACACAGATCCAAACAGACCTGCTTAAGAACTGCCCTGGGAGCGTCCACCCAGGAGCGGTGAGAACGCCAGCACCGTCCAGCTCTGGGAATAGGGTGTTCTCCCAGACAGCGAGTGTTCCTTCAGGCAGGGCTGATTTTAGGGCTGGGACAGGAAGCGCGCCAAATGAACCTGAATGTCTCTTTGTGCAAGAAAGCACTTGGGTAGGATGGGCCGTGTCCCTCAGGGGACTCTCACTGGCCAAATTGGGGGGATTTCAGCATCAGAGTAAAGATGATGAGAGAGAACACTTTGAGTAAAATAAGAAATGATCTCACTATTCAGATGAACTGATTGAAAGCTTGATTGCGAGAGTAGACATCTAGGAAATAGTTGTTAACTATAAAGGATGGGAGAGACCCTTTGTGGCAGAGACAGGCTGTTGTGTGTCACCCAGAGGGTTGCAGTGAGGGGAATGGCATCCCGTCCAGGGTCTTCCTAACAAACACACTTGGAGCCGCAGACCGAACCTGAGGGGTGTGCAGGGGCGCCGCTGTCTGCAACCACGAACACCAGGGTCAGGGTCACAGAGCGCTGAGGACCCCACCGGGCAGGCTGATGGCATCAGCAGGCACATCTCTGTGAAAGATACCGTCAGGACAGCCAGCAGACTTGAAGGGTCCGACAGGTGGAAGAAATGTATGTTTCCCGATTTTGATGTCGTAATTGACTTTATGGAGAAAAATAAACTTATTCACTGTAAGTACCTGCTGACATATTTGGAGTTGATGGGACATCAGGTCAGTGACCTCAAATGATTCAAGAGGGGAAAAGTTATTTCTACCTAGAACTTGTATGTAATGTTGGGATTGTTTCAACATTTCTAAAAAGTTTAATACAAATGGTTTTTTATAACTTCATTCTAAAGTTCCATTCAGGGGATGCCCGGGTGGCTCAGCGGTTTTGCGCCACCTTCAGCCTAGGGCCTGATCCTGGAGACCCGGGATCGAGTCCCGCATCGGGCTCCCTGCATGAAGCCTGCTTCTCCCTGCCTGTCTCTCTGCCTCTCTCTCTTGTCTCTTGTGAATAAATGAATAAAATCTTTTTAAAAAATAAAATTCCATTCAGTCATAAAATTGTTTTTCTAAGAATCATGTCACAATGGTTTCCAAATTTCTTTAAGATCAAATATGCCTTAAGCATTTCAGATAGTTGATCTTCATGGGTTAAATGTTTCAATATTGTTAAAATGGAAATTCTCCACAAATAGGTCTAGAGATTTAATGTAATTCCTGTCAAAATCTCGGCAAGTTTTGTTTTCTTCCCCTTGGCAGAAATTGACATCTCTATCCTAACATACAAAAAAAGAATCCACAATATCCAAAACAATTTTTGAATAGAATAGCAAAGTCAGAAAACAGACTCCCAACTTGAGCACTTAACTGCAGTAACCAGGACAGTGCGGTGTTGGTGTAAAGGTAGCGGGAAGGCCAATGCAGGAAACACAGCCAATGAAACAGAATTGAGAGCCAGGAACTGCGGTGACCCCCTGCGTGTGGTCACTTCATTTCTCAACAGTCATACCAAGGCAGCTCAGTGATGAAAGTGTAGTATTTTCGACAAATGACGCTTGGGTATGTTGGATGTTCACCTGCAAAGAGTAAACTTTTATTTTGAGTTGTAATGATAAACTCACCATGGGTGCAGATTTGGATGTAGGAGCTAAAACTTAAAGTTTTAGCTTTAAAGGAATTAGTCTTTTTTTTTTTTAAGATTTTATTTATTCATGAGAGACACACAGAGAAGCAGAGTCACAGGCAGAGGGAGACACAGGCTCCCTGCAGGGACCTGATGCGGGACTCAATCCCAGGACCCCAGGATCACAACGTGAGGCAAAGGCAGACACTCAACCACTGAACCACCCAGCCGTCCCGAGGAATTAGTCTTTATCGTCGTGATAAAGGATGTGGGCGTTGGGGGGTGTGATACAGCTCTGCAAACGTAGTAAAAGCCTTTGAGTTCTGTGCTTCCCACGGGGTGGATTTTATGGGGTATACACCCTACAGAAGGCGAGCGCAGCCTGTCATGGGGTTCTAAGGTGGCATCGTGAGTTAGGGTTCTTAGATACGGTGCCAGAGGTGCAATTCCTAAGAGAAACAGTGAATGAATGTGGCTTCGCAAATGACACTATTAAGAAAGTTGGAAATACAAGCCACGGACTGGGCAGGAATCTGTGCAGATCATAACCTGATAGTCCTTCCAACCAGATGTAAAGCGAACTCTCAAAAGCCAAGAATACGACACACGACGTAATCTAAAAATGGGCAACAGGTTTGAATAGACATTTCACCAAAAATCCCGTGTAACCAATTAGCACATGAAGTTGCTTATTCATTTAGGGAGAGGCAAACTAAAGTAGATAACACTTCATACTCACTGAACAGATACAACCACAAACCCCAGAAATAAGGTTGGAGAACTTGCATTTTCTGGTTTCAAAACGACACCACAAGGCAACAGTAACCAAGGATGTGCAGAAACTGAAGTTGCCCTACATCATTGACAGGAATGTAAGATGGTGAAACCACAGTCTGGCATGTTCTTAAAAATTAAATGCATAGTACAACCCAGCAACGCCACTCCTCGGCATCTGCCAGAGCAAAAGGAAAACACCCAAAAATGTGATGTGTGAAAGGTCCATAGCAGCCTTTGCAAAAACAAGAAAGATAATCCACATGTGCGCCAGCTGGTGAAAGGGTAAACCGTGTATGTGCACGTCCTTACGGTGGATACAGCTCCAGCGTGGATAAACTCTGGACATCACACTACAAGAAAGAAGCCACTCAAAGGACCCACACGTTTGTGATTGTATCGTATGAGCCATTTCTGTGAAACATCTGGGAAAGCAAAGTTACAGACGGGAAGTAGAGCAGTGGTTGGTTGGGGCTGGAGTCCACAGGTGAGCACAGGTGCCCCCAGGACTGGGCGTCAGGCGGGTGCGATGTGGCTCTGCGAACTTGGTGAAAGCCTTTCGGTTCTGTGCTTC